TATAGCTTTAAATTAGAAACCACAATGAATACTTGAAAACAGAATAATCCACAACCCATAAAGCAGTAAAAAGGCTTCATAGTTATTACATTAAAAAGTTAGAAATGAATTATCTAAAACAAGACAATTTTGCTGTCTCAAAATGTTTTACCCTACAAAAAAATGTGAAAGTATTCACTAGTGCACTCCCAATAACTACTATGAAGACAATATGCAATGTATTAATTATTGTAACTCTCCAACTAACCTGTTTTGAAACTCTTTTGTTTTTCTCTTTAAAATAAAAACCCCACAAACTTTAAAAATGAAAAAATAATGTGTAAATATTATATCATTGATTATCAAATTTGAAGCTTAAATAATGATAAAACGTATCTCACTGCTATCTAGAGAAAATACATTTGGTACAAGAAATGTAATTGGCAGTTACAAATTCATATGTAATAGATAATTGCTAGTATATAGCATTTTTCTCATATAGAAAATCATAACCTGCTCCATGAATCATGTCACAGTCACTGAGCACTCAAAGGTGAAGGAACAGGGCTGGGCCTTAGATACAACCACCTGCCATTAAAACCTACACCCTTTCTTCTGTTCTGGAATAAAAAGGTCAGGGAATAAGTGGGCAGGCCAGTACACAAGAAGATCATTCCCAGAGATGTTCACATGGTCCTTCTCCCTTCAACAGATTAACTCCATTTCATTTGCAATGGCTCCCTGTTGCCTGCAAAATGAAGTCTGGCCTCCTGGCGCAGGTGGTAAAGATCCCTGCTCTACGAGCTGGCAACATCACAACCCAAACCCTGCTCCCGGAGTGTAATTAGATGATGCGAGAAGAAATTCCATGGGAGCCGAATGAATCAGGACTTTGGCTTTGACCTAGGGTGAGAAGGGAGCCAACACAGTTTCTAAGCAAGAATGGAAGGATGTGCCTGATATTTAACACATTCTACATTTCCAGTGGACAAAGCCATTCCCCTAGCACCCTCTCCAAACATCCATGCCACTCACAACCTCATTCTATCCTACTCCAAGGTTCCTCACACAATGCTTCTTTCGGTGCCCCAGGAAAATGACCCTCCATCCTGATATAACATGACAAATGCTCAGGGTATTTGACTTAGGTTATACTTCAGCTTTTCCATCTTGTTCAATTTCTATTGTTACTGGTACATACTTACAGTATATAATGATTATGTTCCCTGTATGGTGTTGGTGCATAAACAACACATCCTAATGTTTTTTTCACTCTCTTCCTGTGCCTCACCCCTTCCTCCATCTCTAGGTCCCCTTCCCTTCTGAAAAAGTTCTATTTTTTCTATTTCCTATTACCTATCTTTTACTTTGCTCTTCATTGATAGTTGAAGTTTCTCCCATAAGAGAAACTATGCAATATTGATCTTGAACATCTAATTTATTTCACTTAATCTTATGGTCATAAGATGCATCCATTTTCCTACAAATGATTCAATCAGTAACAGTATAATTCTCCATTGCATACAAATACCTCCTTTTCTTTATCCATTCTTCTGTTGATAGCCATAAAGGCTCCTTCCAAGATTTAACCTTTATGAATTCTGATACTATAAACACTGGTCGGTATGCATTATCAGTATAATAAGATGTCTAATTCTTTCAGGAAAATACATACAGTGGAAATATCTGAGTCAAGTGGAATTCTCATCTTTATATTTTTTGAACTCTACATTGATTTCCATTGTGGTTGTGCTAGTTTACATTCCCCTATAAAATATAGAAGGGTTCCTTCTACCCACAGCCCTAGCAGCATTTGGTATTATTTGATGTCTTCTTTTGTGTGTTTTAAAATTTTAATTGGTACATTTCAGAGATAAGGAATAATAACATTCATCATAGGAAATTTGTAGCTGTACATGATATAGCTTGCTGTTTCTTTTTATCCATTCTCCACTCATCCCTTCACTCTCGTTCCCCCTTCATTATTTACAAAAAATTTCTTTCCCATTTTTCCCTTCTATTCTTTGTCCTTTTTTAGGACAGGGTTTGCAGGGTATACAGGGTCTCACTGCGTAGATCGGGCTTGTAATGATCCTCCTGTTTACAGCCTCCCAAGTGCTGGGATTACAGGTGCGTGCCACCACGGCCAGTCTCAGTTGCTGGCTCAACATGCCCCAAGGGCACAGCCTGCACAGCAGGCCTGGGAATCGAACACCCAGCCCCTGCATCTACCTAAGCAGGAGCTTTAATCCACTGAGCTATTTGGCTGGCCCTTTATTCTTTGTTTCTTGTCCCTTCTTTTCTTTCCCTTTCCACCCTCCCTTGTTACCCTTCTCATTTGAACATTTTCTTCCCATTTCTCAGAATCTATTATACATTTTGGTCCTTATTTATACTTTCAGTTTCTCACACCAGAGAAATGATTTCTTATTCAAAAATGTGTGTTTCATTTATTATACTTAAGAGTTTGGTCTCGAGGTACTCTCACCTAAATGCTCCACATATCAAATAAGCGTGGTGATAGTGGACATCCTTAACTTATTCCTGAACTTAGAGTGAAAACTTTGAAGTTTTGACCATTTAGTATGATGTTGGTTGTTGGTTTGTCACAGGTGACTTCTATCAGATTGAGATAAAGACCAATTATTCCAATTTTCTGTAAGGCTTTTACCATGAATGAGTATCGAACTTTGTCAAATATTTTTTAATGCATCTGTTAAGATGATCATAAGTTTTTGCCCTCAGCTTTGTTAATATGGTGTATTACACTTATTGCTTTGCATATTTTGAGCCATCCCTGTATCTGTGCAATGAATCCTGCTTGGTCATGGTAGGATTCATATGATTTGCTACATTATGTTTGCCAGTATCTCATTGAGGATTATTGTATCTATGTCCATTATGGAAATTGGCCATAGTTCTGTTTTTTGACTGTACCCTTCTCTACTTTGGTATCAGGGTAGTGCTTGCTTCCAGGAATATAAGTACTATTTCCCTTTCAATGTTATTAAAGAGTTTAAGAAGTAATAGCATTCATTTTTCTCTAAATTCTTTATACAAGTTAGCAGTGATTCTGTCAGAGTCTGGTTATTTCTTTGTTGGTAGGTTTTTAATTATATTTTCAATTTCATTGATTGACATTGGTCTATTTAGAAATTTTATATTTTCTTGATTCAGGTTTGTAATTCATATGTATCTTCTTCTGTGCTGATATCTTGTTAGAATACAGGTTATTGAAGTAGGTATACATGATCATCTGGATTTCCGAAGACTCTGTTGTGCTTTCACCAATTTCATTTCTTTTTATTTTTTTTTCTTTTTAAAGACCCATCTCTGACAAAACTAAACAAAAAAGGGGATATAGATGAAGGACCATTTTGTATCTGTATATACGGAATAGTTAGGATAGCTATACAGCTACTTTCTCTTAATTTAATGAGAAGAAAGATTTGTTCTAATAGTGTTTGGACAAGATAGCATGTCTGCATCTTCTACTGTGAATAACCACTACAAAGACAACAATATGCAACGTATTAATTATTGAAACTGTCCTACTAATTGGTTTTGAAACTGTCTCATTGCTGTTTGTTTCTCAATAAAATTAATAAAAAAATAAAGAATACAATATAGTTTTGAAAAACCATCAGACCCTTTTTACTTCTAACTGCACAGAACTGAGTCCTTTCTTTCCTTTTTTTGATAAGGTTGGCTAAGGATTTATCAATGTTATTTGATTTTTTTATTTAATATTTTAAAGAACGATCTCTTTGATATCTTGTGCAAGATGGAATCACAGTGTTGTTTTCGTTTTCACTTCTCTAATGGTCAGAGTTCTGTTTAACATTTGCTGTCAAATAAAATGAGCCATGTCTTTTGAGAAGCCTCAGCTGGATGGTGGACCCCCCACCCAAACCCTGTTAAGCATTATACATACAAAGAGACACAGTGCTGTCACCTCCACATGAGAAGCCTGCTTGGTGCCTCCACAAGCTGATCATCTCAGTGTCAGACCCTCAGACAAATGACGGCAAAGTCCCTGCCAATAACAGTTTTGCCAATAGGCCCAACAGTTCAAATCCATCCCCTGGGGCTTGCCAGATAGCTCAGTTATTTAAAGCACCACCTAAGCAAATGTGGTTGGGCACATAGGACCGTGGTTTGATTCTCAGCTCCAGAAGCTGCACCAGACCCACCCTATGGCAGCCTGAACTGGAAAAAAAAATAAAAATAAAAATAAAAAATAGAAGCAAATCCATCCCCACTTTTGAGAACTCCATAAATGAGGTTATCTGCACTCCAAAATTTAGGATCAAATGATCATCTCAACCATTTGTTTCTTTATTGGTGACTAAACTTCTTTGGGCATCAACATCTATTGTTGCCCTTAAGTTGGAGACTTCCCTTCCTGGGAACACTACAGGGACTTCTTGTGTAACTGCTGCTTGTCTAGGTTGCCTCCCACTGCACAATTATCTGTTATTTTACTTTATTATTGTTGTTTGGGGTTTCTCTTCAGTACTAAGATTTGAGGCTAGGGTCTACCCAGCGAGCTACATCCCTAACCCATCTATTTATGTACTTTTATTTATTTATTTATTTATTTATTTATTTATTTATTTAGAGACAGGGTTGTGCTAAGTTGTCCTTCCTGGACTGAAACTTGTGATCTTCCTGTCTCAACCTTCCAGAGTACTGAAGTTATCAGCCTGGGCCCGTGCACCCAGTAAGAGTAGGTTCTTTAAGGATGAAGCTCTCAGGGTTGGGGAGATGGCTCAGTGGAATAAGCACTTGCCTGGCAAACACAGGGACCTGAGTTCAATCCTGGTTCTAACAGACAAGCAAACAAACAAACAATGAAGCTCTCAGAGGTTATTTGCAGTCCCTGTTGTTCACTCACCCACTGACTCTTGCTCAAAAACCATCTGTAGATGGATTACTTACAAGTCTCTTCCAGGTCTTCCTTCCAGTCTTGAATTGTAAGAGCAAGCTAATCTTTTACCTCTGTTATTCTGCTATAACAGCATTTTGTGCCGCTGTACCAAGACTTTGAGAATTTTTATACGCGGAACCTTTACATGCGAATCAGAGATAACTGGAGCAGGTCCATCTGCAGTGCCCCTGGGCCTCTTTTCGATGTGATGGAGAGAGTGTCAGATGACTATAACTGGACATTCAGGTGAGACAGCCATCTGGAAGGGCTTGGTGGAGAAAAAGTTCTTTCACAAAAAATGTTGGCAGGGGGCACTGGATTATAGATCTGAAAGCTGGGAGCACAGAAGCAGCTGGCCCTTAATGTGCCAAAGAAAATTGTAGTCACTAATTTGTCCAGGTGGCTTGCTTAATCTATAACTAAGGTGAGAGCTGTGTCAGAGGGGCAACACATACAGGGCCAGCCCTGAAAATTTGTCCAAATGTCTCCTTCTATTTCTGCCAATGGAGGCACTGATGACCATTGTTCTGGTCCATTACTGGACTTCAAGCCAGAGCATAGGTATCATGAAACCAGTTATCAAAATGAGGAGCATCAGAACGCAGGTGACGCTGCAGTTCAGGATATTGTTCTCTGGTGCTCTGCCCCCATTCATCATGGAGCCATTTTCTGTCTCAGTTACTCTTCTCTTGTTGCTGGGACAAATATCTGACAATCAAAATGAAGGAAGGAAAGGTTTATTTTAGCTCACAGTTACTGGAATTTTCAGTACATATTCAGCTGGGTCCAAGGCAGAGTGATACATAGCAAAGCACAAGCTTTCATGGTGGTGACAAAGAGCAGAGAGAGCAAATGGAGGAGTAGCAACAAGTATGGCAACAGAGAGAGAAGTCTATCTCTCTGTCTCTTTTATGTTACATTCAGGCTATCCTCCCCAAGGCTGGGTGTAATACTCACACTCATAATCCCAGTAGTACTAAAACCCATAATCCCAGTAGATCATGAGTTGGTCTCAAAACTCTAAAGTCCCCACCTCGTGACTGCATGAAGCTTTGAAGAGACAACTAGACACAAACCATAACATTCTGCCTCTGAACCTCCAAAGTTTCATGCACATCCCTTTGTGCAAAAGGAATCCATGTCTAAGAGTTGTCAAAGTCCCAACAGTTTCAGCATTGCTGAGAGGTCCAAGTCCCAAGTCTCCTCCAAGATCCAAGGCAAACTCTTTGCTGTGAGGCCTTGTACAAAAAAAGTCAAACTCATCCAAAATTCCAAGGCACAAGATAGACATTATCATTCCAAAAGTTGCAAACAGGGGAATACAAAACACTGGTACCAAAACAAGTCCAAAATCCAGCAGGGCAAGCATTAAATCCTAGTTTCAAGTGGAACATCCAAAGCAATCTGTGTTGAGCTGTGAACTCCATGTGGCTCTGCCTCTATGCCACTCTTGATGGTAGCTTCCATGGCTTCCCTCTTAGGCCAGCTTGGCTCCCTCCTTGCAGTTTCCTTCAGATGATCTATATTCCTTGGTTTTCCAAACTTCCATGGTTTCCACTGAATAGGCTTCTCACTCACAGCTTTACACACAGCTCTCTCAGGGGCATACAACCTTGCCTCCCAGGCCTTCTTCTGAAATCAAGGTGGAAGCTTTCTTAACCACAGAACTCTTGCATTCTGAATTTGCCTAAAATCAATGCCACATGGATGATGCCAAAGTCTGCTGCCAGCTGGAGCAGTAACCAGGCTTCCTTCTCTCTTGGTTGTAGGAGTCAAGGGCCTGGATCAATGAACACTCTGACCCTGATTCTGAGGAACAAATTGTTCATGCTAGTGCCATTTTAGAAGTGGGGTGGCCACTGCTGACATTCTGGAACATGGGACTCAGCAATTTTTTTCCTCAAGGCAGAGTACCTGACTTTTGCAGCTCTGAGACTTCAAAGGGTGGAGACCTGCTGCCTCCTGTGATTCCCTCAGGCCATCCTTTCCACTCTCTGATTCCTTCTTGGCCATGGAGATCCTCTCAGCTCTGTCTTCACCTTCCACAGCCTTCCTGGTGCTTCCTTTCTGGCCAAACTCACAGCATTTTAAGTCATCCTGCTTGGCTCTTTGCTCTTGATTTTCAACTTAAGTCTGACTAAAAGTCCCCTGTAACAGCCATGCCACCACTCCAATATCTGGCTACTTTGAAATATCTTTTGAAAGATTAATCAGTCCACCATGTTTAATCTCAGTCTCAGGCAAAGTCTTTGGATATGAGCAAAATTCAGACAAACTTTGGGCCAAGCCATGACATAAATCATCCAGAGTCCAACAACAAACATAGTACTTCTTCCCAGCAGAAACCTCCCCAGCCTGTTTTTTTACAGGCAGGCTTTCTATCAGCCTTCTGGTCTTCTGAGTTCTGACCAGAATCTCCCAAACAGAACAGCCAAAGCTGTTCCAGCTCTTTGCAAGTAGATGACCTCTCCAAATCTTTCCTATCTATTCCCATAAGCCATTCCCAGACACTTGTAATCCACATGGTCAAACTTAGCCACAGCAACCATCCCACTCTTGGTACCAAATTCTGTCTCAGTTACTCTTCTCTCATTGCTGCTACAAATATCCAACAATCAAAATGAAGGAAGGAAAGGTTTATTTGGCTCACAGCTACTGGAGGTTTCAGTTCCTATTCAGCTGGGTCCAAGGCAGAGTGGCACATAGCAAAGAGCAAACTTTCATGGTGGTGGCAAAGAACAGAGAGAGCAAATGGAGGAGTAGCAACAATGGCAACAGAGAAGTCTATCTCTGTCTCTCTTATGTTACATTCAGGCTATCCTCCCCAAGTCTGGGTGTAATACTCACAACCATAATCCCAGCAGTACTAAGACCCATAATCCCAGTGGATCATGGGTTAGTCTCAAACTCTAGCAGTCCCCACCCCATGATTGCATGAGGCTTTGGGAGGACAACACGACACAAAACGTAACACTTCCATTTAAGGACAAACCTTTAACTGCTGACAATGGAGTAAGTTATAAACAAGAAGAGAAAATGTATGATGTGGGCTTGACTGAGGTCTATTTGGACCATGATGGCATGCAATGAGATAATCTTTGTGTTCATGTGTCTCCCTGCAGGTTTACAGGACAAATCATCAAAGATGTCATCAACATTGGCTCCTATAACTTCCTTGGACTTGCAAACAAGTATGATGACTCTATGAGGACAGTAAAAGATGTTTTAGAGACATATGGTGTGGGCATAGCCAGCACCAGGCAAGAAATGGGTAAGTACATTTGTCAATTTGGAATTCTATCCAATTGAATTCTGAATTCCTTGTGGCTACTTCTCAAACTAGGGTGTGTGTGTGTGTGTGTGTGTGTGTGTGTGTGTGTGTGTGTGAAGTAGCTATAACAAAATTCAAAAGAAAACCGAACATGAAATTATTGTTTGAAAATTTCAAACATTCTGCCACTGCCAAGCACTGTATTCAGTAATTGCATTTTAATTCTCCTGAATAAAAGCCAACATTTTGGCCCTAGCCTTCCAAGGTCAATTAAGACTCAGGACAGATGAGAACTTGTACTGTAACATCATGTAACTCAGTAGTGTCCCAAATTTTCTGATCAAGGAGATTATGGGGCCAAAGAGGAATGTGATCGATGATGTAGTGTGCCTAAGGAGAGTCACATGGAGAGAAAACATTCTCTCAGGCTTTCACAGAGAGCATATTGGCCAAGCAATGGCCGTGACTCATCCACATGGCTGACACTGACAAAGGATCTACATTGTGAAGTACAGGATCTCAGTATAAATCCGGAGGGGAATTCACTGACCTTATCAGATCCAAAAGCTACAACTCTTGTTGCATAGGTCCTGCTTTACCTTGGTCTTAACCATCCAGCAGAAAAGTATAAAAGTGAAGTATAAGAAGTAGAGCCATGCTGTTATGTTGAGCTGTAGGGGACTCAGGTCAACAATTTCTGACACTGCCCGTCAAGCAGAAGACCCAATACTATTACGGACTATTGGATTCTTTCACACATACATGGATGTTTACTTTCTGTGTACAATGAGAAATTAGGGGCATAGTGAATTATGGGAACTTTTAAAAGGTTGGGATAAATTTACCATTTACAAAGACCTCACCAAGAAAAATTAAAAGGCAAGCATTATGGTACATGCCTGTAATTCCAGCACTTAAGATGCAGAAGCAAGAGTTTGAGGCTAGCCAGGCCTACATGATGAGACCTTGGCTCAAAAGAAAAACATAAAACAGAAATAATAATGGAAGCTCACCAATCAGTGTTAAAAATGAATAAAGGTATAATAACAGAGAAATAAAAATAAAGATACAATTGCAAATGATTTATTCATTGTCAATTTAATAGCTATATATTGAATGTTAACCTCTAAAACATAATATCTGTGTATTTCATCTTTTAAAAGACTCATTACATTTTCATAAAACATATATAAATACTAAAATAAGTACAATGTTGATACTTCACTGATTTTCACTGATTGTGTAGGTGTCAGGACTGTAACATATAATGCCTCCAAGAAAAATCACAGTAACTTCCAAAACTAGAACATATATAAACTGTTCTTGATATAAAGATAAAAATTAATAGCAAAATTAAAAACAAATATTTCTACACAATAACTTCAAAGTTTTAGCTCACTTTGTAAAAGGGCTTTTGAATCAATGAGGAAGTGAATTATAGTTGTATTTATACTTTCAAGATGAAGCAATACAAATGGCAAATAAATATATGAAAAATGTTAATATAATTGGCCATTCAAGAGATGCAACTTAAAACAATGCTGAGATTCTGTCATTCCAGAAAAAAATGCCTATCTCAAGGAATCAACCAGTAACAAATGCTGGTGCAGTTGTGAGCAAAAAGTAACCCTTTTCCACTGTTACTGGGAGTGTAGACTGGTCCAACTGCTATGAAAATCAGTGTAGAGATTCCTCAAACATACTAGGACTAAAGGTTCTGTTTGACTTGGCTATTCCCTTTTGGGAATAAAAGGATTAAAAGAAGAATTTAAAATATCATCCCAGGCAATATATGTGCAGCCACATTTACAGCAGCACAGTTTGTCATAGCTAAATCTTGGATCTTGCTTTCATTCACTACCCCCTTCTTCTTGAACATCCACCTACCTGAGAGACATCATAGCAGCAACAGGCATGTCATGACAAGCAGCCCATATTCAGAATACCAGAATGACAGGCACTCCAAGCATGAAACTACTATTACACATTACCATCTGCAGTGCAGTAGCTTAGTTCACAGGTATCAGTATATATAGTTAGTCAGGATGAGAATCTTCCCAATTAATTGCAAGATTAAAAAATCTTCTGAAGATTCTCAAGATCATTGCCTTGCTCATCTTTTACATATAACTGTATGGCTTGACATTGTCATGTTTCCTAGTTCTTCTCCTTTCCCTCTCTTGATTAGTTAGAATAGTTTGGGTAATCGTATTGTCAATTTCTGCTGGTCTTTTGAAAGGATCACTTACTGCTTAAAATTGTTTGATTCTTTTTCTTTTTTAATTTCTTATTGCTTCCTTATTATTGTTTTTTGAATGAATTTTACAGTTTTATATGTGGTAATGTGAACAACTAATTTGCTGATAGTATCATGTAGTACAGCAACCATTGCTGAATTCTTATTACTTTGTTTAGTGAAATCTTATACAATCTAGCACTGTTTTTATATCTCTATTTTTTATTCTTTATAAATAAAAAAAAACAGAAAAAAAAATCTTGGAAACAACCCAAATGCCCATCAACTGTGCTCCTTTGCCATACACAGCGATAAACTTGAGGCCTTTCTAGGTGAATGAGTGCACCTTGAGACCATACTCTTAAGTGAAATAAATTGGACAAGCATGTAAATATTGCACTGTGTCCCTGATGTGAGAAACTGAAAGGGTAAATAAGGACTCAAATGTACAATACATATTGTGAAATAATAGGAAGAAATTATTCAAAACAAAGGAGAAACTAGGAAAGAGGAAGGGGAAAGGATGCTAAAAGAAGGATAGAATGAGAACAAAGCTTTGCAAATAAAGAGGGAAAGAGGGATTGAAAGGAGAGGAGAACACTGGAAAAAAGAGAAATCAATATGTATCATGTGCAGGTACAAGTTCCTTATGATGACTATGATCATTATGTATATCTAAGTTGTACTGGCAAACAATTTTTTATTTTGTTTTATTTTATTTGTATTTTAGGGAAGGGTCTACAAGCTGTTCAGGGTCTACTACTAGATCAGACCCATAGTGATCCACCTGTTTACAGCCTCCCAAGAGCTGGGATTACAGGCACACCCCACCACGGCCAGTCTCAATTGCTGTCTCAGAATGCCCCAGGAGCAGGGCCTGCACAACATGCCCAGGGATTGAATCCCCAGCCTCTACACCTGCTTACAGGCAGTTTAATCTGCTGAGTTATTTGGCCGGCCCTTTTTTCTTTTCTTTCTTTTTTTTTGTAACAATTTTTCAAAAGAAATTATAGTTGCATCACATTTGAAGCTAACAATTGTGAAAATACCAGAGGATAAAGCTAGTTGTGTACTCAGAGAAAATACATAGCCTTACTTATTGACTAAGAGAGATTAAATCTAGTAAACTTGAAAACCAATACAGTAAAGAATAAAAGTAAACCAAAAATATTTAATGATTCCATTTAAAAACAAAATATTTAGAAAAAGAGCAATTTTTACTGAACTGAGACCTCTGTGCTATTAATAAATTATTGAAAGTGTTTATATAAGCAGTCCTAGCTGAGAGGCACAAGCCTGTATAACTTTGATCCAAAAATTTGGCAAATTTGCATTGCATTAAAGGAAAAATTACAAGGTAATATTATATAGGACAAAAACATTACATATGAAGATGGCAGGAGGATTCTAACAGTATATTCAATTAATAGTACTTCCTAGTCCAATCTAGCCACGTACAGTAAGAACAATTAGGCCCCGAATGAGACAATTCATAAGACTGAAAGATCCAAGAGACACCATATGATGACCGCAATCAATGCTGCTAAACTTTTCTAAAATTCAGTATCCTTTCTTCATAAAAATTTTAACAGAATTTTTGAGATTGCTAAGTAGAATAAAAAATCTGCCTCAAGCAAAAAGACTGAACTATATTTTACAGTTTAATATCAGAGTCACTTGTTTATAATTCAAAAAAAAATTTCCTGTTTTTATGATTGTGTTTTAAAACTTCTGGAAGCACTAGACAATATTCAATCATTTTCATTCACTTAGGCAATGAATGTTTACTGAGGATTATTGTGACAGAAGAGGAAGAATATGTCTAGAAATAACCACTCTCTGTGGATCATATGACTGTTGAAGTCTATTTTTCAAGCTGAGGTCTGTGCAGAGCAAAGGGAACTTCTGAGAGGGGCCATTCTTAAGACCACTGTGGGGATGAAAATGAACCAGGCTGCTGGGTCAGTGAGCTCCACTTGCCCCTGGGAAGCAGAACTTTAGTCCATTCCTGTCCCTTGTTCATAGTTAAATCATCAAAAATATTAGTAGAGCTAGTAAGAGCGTAAGAGACCATTTTTAAAATTCAAACAATAAAATCAATCATCAGGAAAAACATACAAAGGATGTGATGTTAACACATATGAACGACAATAGAAAACACCTGGAGATTAAACTTATTTGAAAGATGTTTAGGGTCCATTTTAAAGCAAGTATAAAACTTAGAAGACTTAAAGGACATGAAAATCTACAGCAATCATCAGGAACTGGGTCAACATTTTCTATCAGAGCAGCACTTTTTCTTCAAGGCTACCGGAATCCACCCAGGGAAATGTGGTCAGAACATCTGGTCAGTGTGAACAACACTGAAGGAGACTCCTCTCCTCCCTGGAAAATCTGACCCAACTTGGCATCAGGACAGTTTGGCATCACAGCAGGCTTTGTTCTAGCTCCCTTTAGGTTCTTCATGTAGGAGCTGAGGAACTACCTCTGAAGAAGGAAGTATCGTGTCAGGAGAGGCAGCCAGAGACTGAGGTGTGGTCTCTGAGTAAGGAGGGCAACAGCCCAGTGCATTCCCTCCTAGCTTCCACTTCCCTAAGGAAGAGGGGTCCAAAGAACATTCCCACACCCATTTAGGATGGTCTCCAAGGGTGAAAACAGTTGCACCAAGGGCACTTTGCTGTATTTTCCCTCCTTCTTGCAAAGAGATCTAAGTGCAAAATGGTGTTGTAATCTAAAGATCCTTGGGGCTCTACTGAATCTGAAA